TGACTCTCTACCCTTTGGTTCAAGGAGTGATTCAAGGTCCCCAGGGAGTCTCAGCTATCTGCCTTCCTTCTTCACCAAACTGGAGAACACCTCGCCAATGGTGAAATCGAAGAAGCAGGAGATCTTCCGTAAGTTGAACTCCACCTCTGGTGTTGGTGATTCTGATGTTGGTAAGTGGGAATTCTCTTATTCTCTTCCTTCAAACTGTCATGTATCCATCAGACGAATAAATGAACTCTGTTAATGCATGTATATGCAAGGCTTTTGTACCTGCTAAATTCATTTCGTCTAATTTTTCAAGTTCATTAAGCATGTGATAACAGTGGAGTAACTTGACTATCATTTTAACTGTGTCTTGTCAGATATTTAGTTTCTCAACAGCTAATAATTATCTTGCAGGAAGTGCACAACCAGGCACAGAGATTTTCAACTTGCCTGCTGTTACCACCTCCAGTAAGTAGCTGTGAAACTCTCTCAAGTAGACTGCTGGTCAAAGGTTTGGACACAGTTTCCCTTTGAACCCAATGTGAAAGTGGGTCCAAGACCTTAGACTGATAATGTGCTAGTTGATGTCTTCTTTCTCAGTGTGTACTTTGTTGCGTTTTGGTTTGTAGGCAGCATCAACCCCAGGAATCACTCCTTTGGTGACCCAGCCGGCAACCTGGGCCTGGAGGACATCATCCGCAAGGCCTTGATGGGCAACTTGGAGGAAAGACAGGAGGAGCAACAGGGAGCTCAGTGCGCAATTAACACTGCACCCAGCACAGGTGGTGACACCCACCAGGAGGCCAACCCATCACCCAGTATGGGTAGGTACAAATCACATTGCCAGCATAACACATGTTTAGAAGAGGTTTTTTGTTTCAGATGGCTCTGATTGACACAATCTGCCTATTTAAATCTGCAGGGAAACAGAAGCAGGGCAAAGCGAACAGCCGGAAATCCAAGTCACCTAACCTGGGTCAGGCCTATGCTGGAGAACGTCCTTCTTCGGTGTCCTCTGTCCACTCTGAGGGAGATTATCACAGACAAGCACAGGCCCAACCCCAGTGGAACTGGGATGACCGACCCTCATCCACAGGTGAGCTGCCCAGCCTCTCCTGTCAGTGTCTGCCAAAACTATCTTCTGATGAAATCAGGCCAGACAGAAAAGCCTGGATACACAGTCTTGATTTTTAAAATTTCCCTGTTTCTTCTTTCTCCAGGATCCATGCAGTTCCCTTATAATCCGCTGACCATGCGCATATTAAGCAACACACCACCCACCTCCATAGCCTCCCCCTCAATTCAGAGCCAGCAGCAGCAGCAGCAGCAGCAGCCGCCACCCCCCGCTGGGGCCCCCCTGGTATGGCAGTCTCTGCTGTCAGAGCAATATGAGACCCTGTCTGACAGTGATGACTGAGCCCTGCTTGCCACAGCTCCAGTTACCATAAGACATGTCTGCATTGAGGCTTGTCTGTACACCCCCCTCTCCCAGAACTAACCTTGCTCACTAGTGTGTGTGACAAGTAGATGGGGTAGTGTCATTTTTCATTTTGGTGCTGTGGTGCCCTGTGGCTGTTGGCTAAGAGTCCAAGCAGCAGCAGCAGCCTAGGACAGTCGGGGGCTCTCCAAAACAAGACTTACTTTTTGGTCTGGAAGCACTCACCCTGCCTGTTGGGAAAATAAACAAAACTTGACTGAGGGGATCACATGAGCTATAGAGCTAAAGATGAAGAACTTATGTAAAAAGAAACAACATAAGAGACTATTTCTGAATTTTTTTTTTATTTCTGTAAAGATACTTTATCTTTAAGAAAATCATTTTATGTAAATAGAGTAACCTTTTGCAGTGTTTTTCTTAACTTGATTATTTCTTATTTTAATGTTGCTTTTAAAATGATCCACTTTAAATGGGAAGAGCAGGGGTGTAATCTTCAGTATCACAGTTGGTCTCTTCCAGCCCACTTCCAGCCCAAGTCACCTGAGCCCCGCTTTAATACTTTTACCACAGTGGTGCTGAGAGACCAGACTTGTGGCTGTACTTGACCATTAGTGGGGCACAGCGATCGTGGCACCCTGTGCGCCATCTATCAAGCACCACCAGAACCTGAACATTGTAGATATATGGGGACAAAACAAAACACAATAAACACCTTTGATATCTGATGCCCGTCTTTGCCACACAGTGAAGATGATATGTGGATTGTAACTGTCAGATGGTAGATGTAACTTCTCACCCGTTTCAGACAAAAATGTCTTCAACACAAAATGAGAACACTGGTGTTACAACAGAAAGGTGAACAGTCTGATATAAGCTTAGTTTAGGCAGAACCAATATCCTTATGACTATGATAATAATGAAAGTGAGCCGGTGTTTTTTTTTTTTTTTGTTTTGTTTTGTTTTTTTTTTTGTTTTTTTTCTTCTTTTCCCTAGCGCTGACCATGATGTGTCACACATAGCTGTGTCTCTCTGCAGTTTCAGACCTGTCCATAATGATTTGTTCTGCAAGGTTGTCATGGTTAAAAAAAAGTTATGTCAGGAACTTTTTTGTTGGACAGCTTTGCCATGCTTTGTGAGTTGAGAAAGAAGGCAGCTTAAACTAATTTTCTCAGAGATATACATTGGTGTTTGTTTTGTTTGGTTTTTTTGGATACTATCCTGGCAAAAATCTGAACTCTGTAAATTCTTTCTTTTACACAAAAAGACAAAACTAACCAAATATAAAGAATGGTCTGCACCATCGTTGCACTTTTTTGCTTTGTAGCTTTGGACAACAAGAAGCATACTGCCTGCTGTGTAACTTATTCAGCCTCCAGCACAGGAGGATATTAAGATGTGCTTTAACATTTTCCCACCACTCTCAGAAATCTGGATGGTTTGACTTCCTGTCTTTTCTTGTAGCTGCTACATGAAATCTCATGTGTGACACCTGCATCACAGTTAACGTTTTAAGCATATGGTACTGTTAAATGTTTAGGAGTTTGCTGTCATGGTGATTCAAAACCATGACTACCTAATCTCTGCTTTCATTGTGTTTTGTGTCAATCAGCAAGCATACAGCTTTGAATATGAATTATACTAGGTCAACATCATAAATGGCAGTGACGTTCCTTTGCAACTCTCTTTAGATATGTGGAAAAAATGCCATATTTTAGCTTGGTCAGCTGATCCATTCTGCTCTAAACTTGATATTTCCATTCTTCATTTTGTCATAGCACATGTTCAGATTTTTATTTTCCATCATTTTCAACATCTTTGTTATTAATCCTATTTAGATGGGATATATGTGTTTACACAGGCAATGACAAAAAACGTTTACAAACTTGAATCTTAAAGAAATCCGACATGAAACTGAGAAAGAATTGGAACATCTTTCCAGCTCTATCAAACACACAGTGGTGATTTTTGTTGTCTTTGAAATTGAGACTTGAAAACCTGTGTTATCCTATGATGTTGAAATGCAATGTTTGTATCGCACAGTGTTTATTAGTTGGCTATTACAAAAGTTCAGACCAATCAAATAAAGTGGATCAGTTCTCCATGACTGAAAAAGGTCTATGTTCCTTTAAGGTGCCCCATCTTGTTATTGACTAAGATTTTCTTATTTCTATATTGTGCCCTGCTTATAATTCTCAGTGACTTGGGTGTATAGAAATTTAGGAGATAAAAAAATAATGCACTTGAATATGAAAATATTGCAGTGTACAATTGCATTGTAGTTTATATACAGGTTGTGCATCCCCCGTTTCTACTACTTCAAGCCAAAAGATCAGTTGTTGAAGTACCTTATTTCTTTACTTTACAGCAAGTCTGCTGCTGTACACTGAACATTAAAACCACTGTGTAGGTCCCCCTAAGCTGCCAAAATGGCTCTGTCCCATCAAACCATGGATTCTGAAGGTATCCACAAGATGTTGGCAGCAGATCCTTTAAGTCCTAAGTTGCAAGGTGGGGCCCCCATGGATCTGACTTATTTGTCTAGCACATCCCACAGATGCTTGATCAGATTGAGATCTGGAGAACTTGGAGGTCAAGGCAACACCTTGAATTCATCATGTTCCTCAAACCATTCCTGAACAATCTTTGCAGTGCAGCAGGATGCAGTTGCTCTCTCGCCACTGACTGCAAGACCTCAGGCCATCATAGGAAACCTCTGGCCCAGTTTATATTACATATAGTTCTCATAAACTTCAGTCTGTTATAGTTCTAATTTTCAATATGAACATAAAAATAACAGCTATAGAGATATGAAACCCCGAGAAATCAATAATGAAATGTTTTCTTATATTTTTTCCATCTTCCCTTGTATTTTGGTTAACTGATGTTTGACTGTGTTAGCTACTGATCATGTTAGAGGAGGAAGAGGTTCTGCAATAATGTGGTCAGTGGATTTGACAACTACAGCTTGTGATGGTATGTTTTACACATAAATCCATGTAAAATTAATTAACCAGGGGTGCTGCTAGACATAAAGCTCCGCTGGGGCACAGGACTCTCATAACTCAAATCACACTTTTTTTTTTTTTTTTTCTTTAAATGTTTCCAATGCTTGCTGCTACCGGTAAAGGTAAAAATGTAGAGCAATTCATTTATCCATCCATCCATTCATTATCTATGACGCTTATTCCTGAATAGGGTCATGGGGGGCCGGAGCCAAGCACAGCAGACATTGGGTGAGAGGCGGGGTACACCGTGGACAGGTCGCCAGTCTATCACAGTGCTGACACATAGAAACAGACAACCACACACTCACTCCTATGGCAATTTAGAGTCACTAATTGAGATATTAATCTTTAATAACTAATGTCTGTCAAGGAGCCCATTTGTACTGTATATCAACAAATCATTAAGTGAAAACAAAAATCATTCTAATCATATTTTGTAGCTCATAAAGTTAATTCAATTCTCCAATTACTTTGAAATTGTATTTACAATGGATAGCTGGTGGTGACACACCCATCTCCACAGAGGTCACTGCATAGATGTCTTTCTCCAGTTTCCCTTCCTGCCTTAGGTTCACTTCTTTGTTGTTCATTCATTTTCTACCGCTTAGTCCCTGTACGGCCCACTGTGCATGCACAGTCGTGTCATTCTGGCCGCAGCCAGGCAAGTGTGAGCAATCTTGGCGTGTTCTGGAAACAGAATGTTATGCTAGCATTAATGAGTCAGTGAGGCAAATTACTGCATACAACAGCAATAGTTTGACAAATAAAGGTATTGCTCTCCAGTCTGTGGTTCATTACCTGTGGCTTTACAAGTAGCTCAATAATCAGCTGTTATCTTTTAGAAAAACAATTGAACTTAGCTTTTCTTTTTTTTTTTACATTTAACTTTGTACTGCTCAAATATTAGTTCAAATTTTATTTGTATAGCGCCAAATCACAACAAAAGTCATCTCAGGACACTTTACAAAGTAAGGTCTAGACCTTACTGTTATCACTATTATTACAGAGGGAAAACCCAACAAATCCCCCTTGAGCAAGCACTTGGCGACAGTGGAGAGGAAAAATTCCCTTTAATGGATGAAACCTCCGACAGACCCCGGCTCTTGGTGGGCGGCCTTCTGCCTTGACCGGTTGGGGTGAGGGGATAGAGGAGAGACAAAAGAAGAAAAGCAACAAGACACAACAAACAATCAAACACTGGTCAGGTCGATGTGGCTGGTGACTGCTCATCAGAGACATAGAGCTCCAGAGCCAGGGCAACCTGTAGAAAGGTACAGGGAGAGAGAGAGAGGACACACTACGGGAGAGAGGAGACACAAAGTTAGTGATGTGTAGTGGTGGCATATAGATTTATAGTTATTGATACCAAATGACACACTGGACAGAGCAAATATTTACAGGGTTTAATGATGCTGTGGACGTAATTGTTATTATAATATATGTTTTGTGATTGTGCTTGGTGTACACTGGGTGTGCTTGTGTGACTTAGACATTTTAATTAAAAAATAACAGCTTCTCCACAGTAGATGAGTTTTAGTCGATTTCTCTTTTTGAGACAATGTTTCCACTTGTGATCATTTCATTGATGGCTCCATAGTGAGGCAAACCAAAAATTATTGACAGGAGGTAAGACACAGAGCACTGTTCCATCCGTCTTACATACACTTGTATCACGCCAATGTTTCAAAGCTCCGCCTATTGAACCAAACTGGTCAGCTGATTCAGTCATGGTTTTTCGCAATTTGAGGCAAGCTCCGGCACAGTGCTTCAGAAAAATACCTTGTTGAGTTTGAAGTGTGCTTTAGATATCAGTGGTATCAGAGGGAACATCACTACTCTGGACTGTTTGCCCTTGGATTTGGACTTACCTGCTGTTGTGGATTTTCAGTTTGAATTTTTTGGTTTTGAGTTCATTTACCTAGCTCCTTGACTGAACTGTTCATTGTAGATTCTGTCAACTTCCTTTTGTTATGC